TAGAAGAAAAATTGGGATGACAAATACTTCTTATATCAAATTTATGGCTATTCATTCTTTTTGATACCTGTTGGTGGGTCCGGCCGACATATTGTATTTTACATTTTTATTTTACAATAAATTAAATAAATCACGTCACTAGAAGTACAAGTTCCATCACAATGCATTTCAAATGTTTTTCCAGTACTTGTACTTGTGAATATACTATTTTCTTCGATATTTTGACAGTGAGTACATCTTTTTCTATTACACTAATTAGTTAAACCGTTCACATTCTGTTTATTTAGAGTTGAATGGGTGAGGGAATCTTGAAGATTTTTAGGACGGGCGTATGCTTAGATTGGTTTATGATTATGCAAATGTTTTACACTGTCATATTCTGACAACATTAAAAGATCCCAGTATTTATTTATTATAAGACCGATGGGTAAGAGACGGATGATATACAAGGATTAAAAAATACACAACAAGCTAAAATAAACATGATATGATTTTTTCTAATACAAAGCAAGCATTTGAATTTCTATTTAAAGCCTATAAAATTGACAGAATTTGTTTACTTTTACCAATATAAATGTAAATAATATATCTAATGATGACCATGTAACTATCAGACATCAATCTATGCTTATTAATATTACTTATATACTTTGAAGTACAATAAAATCAGCAAAAGAGATATTAAATCACTTTTTTAAAGTAGTCACATTAAACCCAAAGTTGATACAACGTTCACTCCGCAAAATCATTTTATTTTTTGCTGCCCTGTTATATTCCAAAAATAACTAATTTATCACACAGCTGAATCATCTTTTACTTCTACAGCATTTAAATTTGTAATTTACTACAATGAAAGTGATTAACATCTCTGTATGTAAGTTCAGTTGGGACATATTATTACACACAACATTCATCGCTACTTTAATCGATAATCAATATCATGCTCTAAACCCATTATTGACATGTTTGCCCTTTTTAAAGAAGAAAACAAAGAAAACAAGGTATTCATTTCTGATTATTCAACGACAAAATATACAACATGCTATAAACCCATTATTTCCATTATTGGTATGTTTGCCCTTTCTTAAGTAGAAAACAATGTACTCATTTCTGATGGGCTAACGACAAAATATACAACATGATATAACCCATTATTGATATGAAAGCCCTTTCTTAAGTAGAAAAACAATGTACTCATTTCTTATGGGCTAACGACAAAATATATAACATGATAAAAACCCATTATTTACATGTTTGCCCTTTCTAAAGAAAGAAAACAATTTACTCATTTCTGATGGGCTAACGACAAAATATACAACATGATATAACCCATTATTGATATGTTTGCCCTTTCTTAAGTAGAAAACAATGTACTCATTTCTGATGGGCTAACGACAAAATATACAACATGATCATCCCACAAGCTACGCATAGAAACTGGTAGATATGCACAGAACCGAATAGAACGAAACCAGCGTTATTGTACTATCTGTAACGAAAGAGATATAGAGGATGAATACCATTTTGTTATCAAATGTAAAGCCTACATGCCTTTAAGACAGATGTATATAAAACCTTATTTCTATAGAAATCCTAGCGTGTATAAATTCAATGAATTATTACAGTCAAAAAAGGTTGGTGTAATAAAAAAATTAGGTAAATTTGTTTATGAAGCGTTTAAGCTTAGAGAAACATTAAATTGACATGAAATATTTGTGAAATGTAAATGTATGATCCCTGTTTTAAATATAATTCAACATGCACAGGCCTGTATAACTTTTGTATGTTTTTTTTCTACAGTACGGTAAAATTGTAATAATAGATAATTTATTAATGTTATAATAAACTAAATTTATGTCTATATTTGGTATCTGTTCATGGCATTGTAAGATTTATGTTGTTTTTTTTTTCCTCTCTGTTTTTTTACTTATAAAAATGTATGATACAGGCTTCGATAAATGTTTTAGAATTATGTACAAAGATGTATATCATAGAGATGTATTATAAGTTATTTCATGCAGTGACATTTGCTAACAAAACATAGTCACAACCTATGGGCTTTTACATAATTTTGGAACAGTGTTTACATAATGTATATATAAACTTGTACATGTGTACTATACATCAGTTGAAAATTATCTAATATCATGTTATTACGGGCAAAAGTCGCTGCATATATTTGTTTGGAACACCTGCTCTGTACATTTTTGTAACATACTGTCATATTTTTAACTTACCTACTCAAATATATATCCAGTAATGCGGTCAAATATGTTGAAAAACATCGAAAATCTTTTTCCAGTCATGAAGCGTGGTCGCAAAAAGGCGTGACGGTTTATTATTTCCGGTCTCCATGTTTGGCATGGGGACGGTAATGATTGGTTGATATTAGTAAATAACAATGACGTCGATAAAGTTTATGAATGGGCAAATGATTGTTTATTTTCGGTTTTCCTTATATGGTAATGTTTACTACGGAAATAGCTTACAGGTATTCTGACCCAATTACGGATATATTCACTGCAATTTTACACCTTCATGTATATATGTAATGACCACTCTCACTCGAATGCTTAAATTGACTTGTTCATTATTTAGCAGTTATGAACTTGATTATTTATATAATGATTTATGTACATTATGTTTGTGTATATGTATATAACGAGAAACTATGTAGTTTAAGTCAATAAAATGTTCTTCTTCTTCTTCTTCTTCTTATAACCCATTATTGATATGTTTGCCCTTTCTTAAGTAGAAAACAATGTACTCATTTCTGATGGGCTAACGACAAAATATACAACATGCTATAAACCCATTATTTCCATGTTTGCCCTTTCTTAAGTAGAAGACAATGTACTCATTTCTGATGAACAAACGACAAAATATACAACATGATATAACCCATTATTGATATGTTTGCCCTTTCTTAAGTAGAAAACAATGTACTCATTTCTTATGGGCTAACGACAAAATATATAACGTGATAAAAACCCATTATTTACATGTTTGCCCTTTCTAAAGAAAAAAAACCAATTTACTCATTTCTGATGAACAAACGACAAAATATACAACATGATATAACCCATTATTGATATATTTGCCCTTTCTTAAGTAGAAAACAATGTACTCATTTCTGATGAGCTAACGACAAAATATACACGGATTTGCTTTATAGTAAGCATTTAAGTTCTTTTAGCAGGTCTGTAGAGAGGTCATGGACATTGCATTACGGTAATCATCGGAGGGTCTATTGACATGTCTGTAAGGAGGTCATGATAAAATATTTCACTGTTTCAGAGGAAGAAGCACATTTTGTACTTAATGTATTAACAGAGGATACATTCCAGTGTTGTAAATATGACATATCACATGTTCAGTCAATTGGCCTCCTGCTAAGTTTTAAATATCTAAGCTTTATTAAGTATGTCGCAGCGACAGACACAAATTATTTTCAATCTGTGTTTCCCAGCTTTAAAGTTTTAAAGGAACGAAATGTTTAACAAATGTTTGATGTACTTGACCTTTAAATTGTTTTTATCGTGATAATACATGTCGTCGAGGTCTTTTAAAAAGATATTTTGGTGAAATATTTTGTCAAAACTTTTTGAGAGGATGATTTTTCATAAAGAACAGGAGCTCTCCTCTTTGTTTATATTTGACCGTAATTTCATTGCCAAACTTTTTTTTATTCAAGTCACTTGGCATATTTCCAGAGAAAGGGCTAACATTATAGATCTAATTGGAAAAATTAATTGACATAACCAAGTTTGAGTACATACGTGTACCATCAGCTTATAGCTTCTTACACAATGAAACTAAAATATGTTCCGTGTAAACCAACGTGTAAAACGATACTCATTCTGTATAACAAACACGTGTAAGAATCATTGTACTTCGGAGCGGAAGGCGAGAATACGACAAGTTCTTTTGTTTGCGTTTGTCCCCGCAGAGCAAAAAGAAATGATATGGCATAATCAGCCGATCAAAATAATTTCGTATGAACATCTATATGATATATAATAATAACTTTTTTGGAACAAGAACAATTAATTATCTGCTATATAAAGTAAAGTAATATCGATTCATGTTTCTCACACTGATTAACAATATCAGTATAATTATAATTCTTTGATGGTATATTGTCACGTATTACTACATACTAATTAATATCAACAAAACTATTCATGGTGTAACAGACCTTCCAAAATGGACCAATTCAATTTAACCGAAAACATTTTTATACATAAAAAACCGTTACACAAGTGTGTATTTTGCAAAGCCAAGACTTAGGCAAATACATTGAACATGCATTTACATTTAATAACGAGCATTTTTGACAAGTGTATAATACTGAACACCAATCGCATGATGTTTAAACTTAGTTTTTCCAATCTTACTGAATCATTACATACATACTTTATGATGAACATAATCGTTTAATGTATAAAAAATAATAATCAACTAAACGATGTTTCAGGCGATTCTGACTTTCTGTCCTCATATTATAATTTTGGTATTTCATATACACTTAAAGCAAGCTAGATCTTGAATGGAAATTCATGTTTAAAAGTCGATGGATTACTAAAATAGACTCGTTTCTTAAAAGTGTATATTAAATGATAAATTCTAGATTCTGTGTATATCATCAGCATAAAGATCAGGATATTTTACTTTAAGATCTGTTTTTAACTTGATATTCATATATGAACTGTATTCAAATTCCATTAGATCAAATTGTATTCAAATGCCATTTCACCGATGCATATTTCACTTGTGTTTAATTACTTGACAATTTCAAAAAAGTGTATAGTATTTGATAAACTGATAATGCAATATAATGTAAGATGACGTAGTTTAAATAATAAAATCTACAAAAGTATTTTCATTAGACTTTACGGTGTATTAATGTAAATTTTATGATAATGTATAACAATAAATAAGACTGCTGGAATTATTAAAAAAGACCTGTTCTTTTTCTGAATAATACAGAAGTTAAAAAAAAACAGTTTTCTTACCAGTTCAGATAACAAAACAAGCAAACACTTTAAATACATGAACATGAGATGTTTATAACGTTAACATTTACTGATACCTAGGCTAGTGTTATTTGCAAAGCTGTAAAATTAATCTGAATTTAAAACAAAGGCTTAAAGACATTAATCTGACAAATGGAAAACCAGCTTTAAGCGGTGATTTCATATTCATTGTTTTTAAATAACTTGTTTTTTTGTAATGAATAGCAAAAACATAATCAGTCTAGATAATAAAACCTTTTCTTTTAGTTACAAATATGCAAGAAATTCGAAGAAATCATTGTCAAATTAAGTGTCTATGGGCATGTTTGTAGAGAAGTCATGATAAAGTGTTTGATATTTTCAGAGGACGATGCACACTTTGCATGAAAGGTCGAAATAGCTGACACATTCCAGGATTTCAAATATGACATGTCACAACTGCAGTCAATGTCCCTGTCCTTCAGAAAGAAATAAGAAAGCTTTGTCAAGTTTGTTACTGCAACAGGTACATGATCAAGATTTGTTTAACCAAGATCTAGATGATGTAAATTAAAATTGTCCTTAAATGCTTCTGGTTCTACATACGTGATGGGATTGTCAAAAACCCTTAAAAATGTTAAAGAACTCAATCCTGCTAGATCAGATGTTTTAATTGTCATTATCTTATTGCTGCTAAAAGATAATGATTGCAAGGATTTTAACCTGTTCAATGCGTCTGGTATCCTTTCTAGAAGATTGAATTCCAAATCAATAGTAGCAAGTTTTGAATGCAAGGGAATTTTAGTGATATCTATGTTTTGAAGCCGATTACTATTTAGATTTAGCAACGTAAGTGATGGGAATAAAGTAATATTTGGAAACGTATGGAGGTCATTTGCATATAAGGTTAAACTTGTGACAGAAGACAATTCCTTACCGCATGGTTCAAAAATGGGGGTCATGTTTTTCTGAAGGTTATAGGAATATACGATTGTCAATTCCGAAAGGTGACTTAGATGACATATTGCATTAGGAACTTTCTCAAGTCTATAGTATTTAAGAGAAAGGGATGTGAGCGTGTTTTCAAATCCATCGAAAGCATTTATGGCTAAATGCGGAAACTGAATGTTGTCAACGGTTAATGTCTGCAACACTCGAAGGTAATGCAGTTCCTGTGGCCATTCCTTAAAATGGTCTAAATCTAAACTAAATGAAGTCAGACTCCTTCCTATATTTGACATTGCTGATGCATCAAGAGAATGTAAAGGATTAAACAAAACATCTAGGTTTCTAAGATTAAACAAATTTTTGAAAGCCGACGGTAAAACTGTTAAATTATTATGTTGCAGGTGAAGACTTGTGATTGAATTTGCTACTCCAGTAAACGCATTGCTCTCAACTGAGTGTATCTTATTATTATCCAATCGTAAATCTATTTCTGATGCGTTGATTGAGCTAAAAGTTATAAATGCGTTATTTCGAATAACGGTTATTTCGTTTAATTCAAAATCCAGATATAACTTGTTTACATGATAACCAGATTGTTTAATATTAGGAATGTTCGTCAAACTTTTACTGGTACAACTTATGTAGCTGAAATTTCTTGAATTACCGTAGCACGTGCAAGGTAATGATGACTCTGGACAGTTGTCATCGAGAACAAACGATGAGGATAATCCCAGGAAGGCAGAAACCACTATGATCTGTCTCTGAAATTCATAAAAGTTTTAAATTTCAAAAAAGTGAAGAAGACAAAAAAGGAAACACAATACAGTTTTTCAATACAAAATGACATTTACATTATATAAATGATCAACTTGTATCTAATACTTAAATAAATTAAATAGGATCTTCACATTCTGAGGCATGCTACATGTAACACGTTTTATCATATTACTCAAGTATTGTTGGTCAAATAAATTAAAAAAATTAATTAAAATCATGCTTTTTTTCTTTTATTTTTTTATTCAACCACAGGTTCATATTAAGCGTATTTCTAGTTTGATAAATAAGTATTTTGGTATTAACAAGTGTGTAACTTACTAACTACTTTTTAATTTTCACTTAATTAAATGTGATAGTGTAGCCTTTATACTAGTTTCAATAGTGATAAGTAATAGTTGATATTTTTTGTCTACATGTGTAAGAAAGATTACAACATCCATTATAAATATGACCCTTTCTAATTGCGAACATTTGTCAATGTTATTCTGGTTGCTATATCTTTTGTTCTAGTCAAGTTTTATGTATGTTTCTTTTCTTGAAAGTGTGATACATACAGTAAGTTTGTGATTTAAAGTCCATGTTTGTTATACATGTAGAAGCTTCCAAACGTTTTCAGTTAATATGAAACAGAACAGTACATATGTACAAGAAATGTTGCTTTTTAAACAAATTATATGATTTGACTGTTCAGTGTTTGCAAGCTGTCTGGTTACTACAATGAGAACCCCATTGCAGTGTTATTCAATATTTAATTGAAAACTAATACATACAAAGGTTGTGTGACTGTAATTAAATAAGTATTGTTTAGAATATTGAGAATCTAATTTTGTAATTATGATCATGCGGGATAATTAAATTATCTTTGAAGCGCCTGGCAACAATTCCGCTGTAGGCATTTTCTTTAGCTGTCCTAAAATATTTCTTCAATTATTATATAAAGGGCCAGTACTTTGAAGAATACGGCTAATAGGTAGGTGAAAGCCTTGCTGAAGTGGACAAAAACTTTTCTGAAAGTGATTTTTTCTGTTTATATATCTTTAAAATTACAAGATACGCCTAAAACCTTTTATAAACGCCTTTTTGATTGTTTTTACAAAATGTCTACAACTTTGAAAATTTACGCCCCAGGGCCGCCATGCCGCAAGGACACCAACTTTCAAAAGGCAATAAAAATAAGTTTTATTCTGAAAGTGATTTTGTATATATGTTCTAAAAACTTTATTACATGCAGTTAAAATTGTTTCTACAATCTTTTCTACAAAATTTACGCCGCAAGGCCGCTGGGCTGCTAGGCCACAAACCTCATAAACATGATATAAAAAAAACAGTTCTGAAGTAGTTTTAGTGTTCATTTTTGATAGAAATGACAATATATGACTTAAAAACTTCAATGGTAGCCGGTTTAATTATTTTTACAAAATTTCTACAACTTTAAAGCTAAGTGTGCTTGGCCAACATACCACCAACTTTACAAAGACTAAAACTCTATATCAAAAGCCTAACTGAAAATGGTTTACTACTGTTCTATATAAAATCTTTGATATGTCCTAAAAATCATTAAGAGCCGTTTTAACTGTTTAACAAATTTCTATAATTTTAAAATTTAAGGCCACTAGGCAAATTTTGTTAACTTATATTTTTGTTTATATATCTTTTTAATAACAAGATGTCTTAAAATTTCCTAAAATGCAGCATTATTTTTTTAAATGTTCTCAAAACTTAAAATTTTAAGGCTTCTCGACCGCCAAGCCGCTAACATTACGTCACTAGGTCGCTAAGCTGCCAAGTTTATACGAATAAACCTTTAAAAGATCCCTATTTGACAAAAATTGTGCGGATTTAAGATTATATTCGTTTTTCCATATTTATTTTATGAAATTCAGAAGTATAATCTAAAAGTCTGTTTTTTAATAGTGTTATAAATTCTTCTCTCTTGTAATTTATAATTACTACTACTTCCATAATTTCTCATATTTGCATAAAATAAACAATAACTGTTTTCCGTTTCATTTCACCATTTATTTATTTGAAAGTGTCCTAAATTTCTAATCTACAATTAATATTTAAAGTTACAGTTTTTCTTCCTCACACATGGTTGATAAGTTACTCAATTTTTACTATTTAGCTCTTAAGATCTCATTCTTGAAACTTTCATCTAAAATCCTGAATCTTGACTCTTCAATCTAGAAACTTGAATATTGACTCCCCCCAGAAAATCTTGTCCCAGTATTTATATGAAATACTTTGACTTTCCATATTTGGAGGTTACCTTAGTGTTAATTGACAAATTTAAGCCTTCTATATTTATGACGACAAGTGTTGATCAAGTAACTGTACCAGAAACAAACAGACTGATTCCTGGAATATTTATGATGGTAACCAATGATTGAGTTCCCTAAACACAACAATTGCAGACCTCTTGTCCATTATTTATGCAGGTACCCGTTGACAGAGATACCAAACTAAAATCTCCCAGACTGGTACACAGTCTAGCCCCAACAGATTTATAGTAATAAATAATGACAACAAATGAGGTCTCAATTCTCATACAAACTCAATCATTAAATCAAACCTTAACCAGGTGCCTTGCTAGTTGTGTGGTGACCCTGTCAAACCTTGCGGCATGGTCACATATTGATAAAGTCCACCTCTACTTGTACAAAACGCAGTCTTCTCACGATCCCTTTTATCCAATTCAATCTGGTAAAACCCCGAAAGTAAATCTAATGAACTATAATAATTATTTCCTCCCAACGATTCAAGACAAGATTCTATTCTTGGTAACGGATAAGCACATTTTTTGCTTAAATTGTTCAAACCCCTGTAATCCACACAAACTCGTACACCACCCTGAGGTCCCTTTTTTCGTACAAAACATAAAGGTGCAGACCAAGGACTCGTGCTCTCTTCTATTATTCCCATGTCTAATTGCTGCTGAATGATCTTTTCTTCTTGTCCTTCAAAAGCCTTTGGTACACGTCTTGGTGGAATTTTGATTGGCCTGACATTTTCTGGAACTTCAATAGTATGTTTCACAACAGAGGTACGACCTAAATCTGTAGGAGAACTTGAAAATGCATTTTTATGTTTTTCTAATAGATGTTTCAATTTTTCCTTTTGTAAATTATCAAGATTTTCTGAAGATCTCTGATATAACTCTTTTAATTCACTGTTCCATTTTGTGATATCGCATTTAATATTATCCTCATTTATTTCGAAAGTTGCCGACAATTTGCAGTCATCTAAGTTCACATTTTCTTTCAATAAATCTTCTTGATTTAATTCATGCAAATATCCCAATAATGACCCCTTGGTTAATTTCACATTTCTATCAGAGGTATTAACCAGTCTTATAGGAATTGAATTGCCTTGAAGTTCCCTTGGGGATACTAGCACACTTCCCATAAACACTTTATTCACTGGCCATTTATTTTCCAAAGGGCAGATGATGCCTAATGATGAGTTAATTGTTCCAAGATTTATTGCCTTGCCAGGTATAACAATTTCTGAGTTTGCTGGAATTGATACCTTTGACCGCGTAGTAATTTTCACCGCTCTTAATGGCACTTTCTCCACAAATGTCTTGCATTTTCTCCCATTTAATTTTAATCCTTTTTGAGCACTAAGTTCGAAATTATTTTCATTTAAAAAGTCTAACCCTATTAATCCATCTTCATGAATATGTGCAATAAAAACCGTATACTCAAAAGTTTGACCTGCATTTGTAAAAGAAAATTCACACTGACCAACTATAGTTAATAATCCATCATTTGCGACTTCAAAGCGCACTGAACGATCAACATCAGACAAAATAGGTCGAATATCTTCTGGAATTCTATAATAAAATGCAGACGATAATATTGTACAACAAGCTCCAGTGTCTATAACAAAATTTGCATTCACAGTATCAAAAATTTTTACAGGCATAATAAGCGAAACACCATTTGCATTAGCACTCCTACACTTAATTGTCTTATATACAATGTCATTGTCACTGACCAAGTCTGGGCCGTAAGGCTTGGTCTGAGTTAGTTTCCCTGAGACAGTTGATTTGATGGACAATCCCTAGCATAATGTCCGAGAGTATGGCATTTGTAGCAAGTGACATTCTTGTAGTCTGGTTTATTTGACTGACGCTGAGTAAATTTCTGGTTGTTGTTTGGCTTTAAATTCAATTGATTTGCTAGCTGGTCAATTTTCTTTCCTAATGATGATTTCAGATCCTTACCAAAATCTTGAAGACGGGCTTCTGTGACGTATTCTTCCTTTTTATCAATACTCCTGATCCGAGGGCCTCTTACGTCATCCCTTATACTTGTATAGTTGTCTAACAATTCTCTAGCATGGTCTATTGTCTTAGGGTCTTGCATCCCGATGAACAAAGCTGCTTGTGAATCTTGAAGTCCCTTCAAAAAATGACGTAAATTTATGGTTTCTCGAGTGGCATTGTCAGCAGTAGGGTATCCCTTAATCACCAACCTTTTTACGCTTGCAACATACTCAGCCAGAGTTTCCTTCTCGCGAAAATATTTGCGATTTTCCAATTCAGCCAAATACGAAGCAGTAGATCGTTTTTCTTGAAATCTTGTAATAAGTGCAGTTTGAAGAAGATTGTAACTGTTCAATGTGTCTTGTCCCACTTGCTTAAATATGTATTCTGCAGCCTTGCCTCGCAAACTGTTTTTCAGACGGAACAGTCGCTCATTGTTGTCCCAATTGCAAGCTATAGCCATGGCCTCAAATGGATTGATGAAGCTTTCCCATGAATTTTTCCCATCAAAAAGAGTTTGTCTGGGGAGTGGAACGTCATACTTCCTATGTGAAATTCCATTTGAATTTCCAATATTTGACTGTGAACCATTTCTTTGTGAAAGAGCTATGTCTGCTTCAAGTTGCCTTATCTGATTATTTTTCTCAATGCTAATGTCATTAATTCTCTGTTGATACTGATTCACAATTTCATCTCTCTGTAACACGGATTCTTGCTCTTTTTTTCTAATAATATCTTCTAATTTTCTATTTTCTTCTTCTGCAATTCTCAGTTTTTCATGTAATAACTCAGTTTCCGATAAAACATTGTCACCAAATTGTTCTTCCACAATAATTGAAGCTGCACCGGTTTGTTTCTTTGGTCCCATTTTAGTAATTTTATAATGTACAGTTCAAATAAATGTCTCTTCAGATAATCACTTTAAAATCTTTTCTAAACGTGTTAAAGTCCAAAAATCCCGTTCGCTGCCACCAGTGTTATAAATTCTTCTCTCTCGTAATTTATAATTTCTACTACTTCCATAATTTCACATATTTGCATAAAATAAACAATAACTGTTTTCCGTTTCATTTCACCATTTATTTATTTGAAAGTGTCCTAAATTTCTAATCTACAATTAATATTTAAAGTTACAGTTTTTCTTCCTCACACATGGTTGATAAGTCACTCAATTTTTACTATTTAGCTCTTAAGATCTCATTCTTGAAACTTCCATCTAAAATCCTGAATCTTGACTCTTCAATCTAGAAACTTGAATATTGACTGCCCCCAGAAAATCTTGTCCCAGTATTTATATGAAATACTTTGACTTTCCATATTTGGAGGTTACCTTAGTGTTAATTGACAAATTTAAGCCTTCTATATTTATGACGACAAGTGTTGATCAAGTAACTGTACCAGAAACAAACAGACTGATTCCTGGAATATTTATGATGGTAACCAATGATTGAGTTCCCTAAACACAACAATTGCAGACCTCTTGTCCATTATTTATGCAGGTACCCGTTGACAGAGATACCAAACTAAAATCTCCCAGACTGGTACACAGTCTAGCCCCAACAGATTTATAGTAATAAATAATGACAACAAATGAGGTCTCAATTCTCATACAAACTCAATCATTAAATCAAACCTTAACCAGGTGCCTTGCTAAAACTACAACAATAGTCTATGTCGCTTTGATATTCACAGCTATCAACTGCAGTAAGGATAAGGAAGAAATTGAATCCAAAATTTAAAAATGGGGTTTGCGGAAATGAGACAAGGAGACAAGGATTTTATAGCGTTGAATACATTAATAAGCTATAAACAATACAAAGCGAACTGAATGTCTACTTACATATGATATGTTTCTCATTTTATAGCATGTGCTGTATTCCCTTTAACACCTATTATCTGAAAATAAAATATGTTATGTTTTAAAGCTATTTCTGATATATATAAAAATTCATTCATATATATCACACTATTTTCACTGTATTCAGATGTATAAAACTTATAGTATCTAAGTAATTACAAAATAGTGCAGGAAACTTACTTTGTATAGGTAAAATGAAAGTGGTGTTCAATCTACTTTACGCAAGCGACTGGTCAACTCTGAATAAATGTCGTTTTCGATAAGCTGGCCAAAAATAAAATCATGTGATTAGACTACGTGTTGTTTCTTTAAGGGGACGTTTCATTTTAGGTGCGTGACCACCTCCTTGATATGAATGCTCGGTGTTTTCTTAAATACTCAACCTGAAAGTTTAAATGCCATGTATATTTATGTACATGACGAAATTGTTGCTCCTGTTTTTACCGTAATTTAAAACAGCCACCTTATCTGAGAATACACAATTACAAGAAATTTTACAATTTTAAAAAATGTTGTTTTTTTTAAGGAAAGCTTATGATTTTCAACATTCTAACTTGTACTTTTTATTCTGTTAAACTTGTATGTGTTTATTCGTATGACACTTTCTTTTTATAAATTAAATTAATGATATTACATAACACATTATGGCAGCAGACATCATTTTTTAGTCTTGGTTTGTATACTCAGTTTTTAAATGGATCTGTTAATCGTGTTGTTTTCATTTTATGTTTACGTATTAATGACTTCACCATGTGCAATTTATTTCTGACGAATTTTCCAAAAGAAATTTTGTTACTTCAAACTTAGTTTATTGCTTTTATAAAATTGTTGTCAAGCATTAACATAACTTGCGTTTCCACGGGGGAGAATCACGCCGTTCGTTACCCAAACAAACAAGATGGTGGATGCAGCCAAAAAGTAGGGTTTTCCCTTTTTTCTCTGAAATTCGTGATGTTCTAATGTAAAAGTACATATAACAACCTTCTCCACAATTTTCCTGGCACACAGGATTTTATTTCATGATGTTTCGTCCCGTACTTCATCTGAAATGCGCGTCACCAGATTCGAAGCGAGAAAATTTTCCACCGGTTTGATCGTGGTAACGTACGGCTTTTTCTCTAAAATTCACTGTTTCGTTTACATATATGTCAATTACTGAAACCACTGACCTTAAAAAGTTGTAATATGTGGTCATCTAAGCATACATGCCCATTCTGGCTAGAATAACCGCTGAAAATATTAATATCGGGGCATTTTCCGGAAATGATAACGTATGGCGCACAAAATATCAATGATAACGTACGGCGCATTTGTTTCTGATTAATTGATTTTCTATATAACAGAAAAGCTATGTTTACAAGACATAACAGGATGTGTAGAACCAAGTAAAGAAACTGAAATAATTAATATAAGTGTCCAGCTTTATTTGTCATCCAATCAAAGCGCTTTTTTTCTTAAAAATTCTTTGTGTAAATTTTCATAGAAGAACAAAAGTCGATTATATATCAAAGGCCATTCATAGCAATCTTCTTTTTTTATAGTGCTTCATAGAACCGCGTTTGTGCAAATGTACAAGTATAGTGACGAAATAAAGTGAGTTCTAAACCGTAACATACCAAAATATTCTCCGGTCGCTGTCGCTCCCGTCGAAGTTTCTAATTTCTGTAGAACAACACGGATGAACACTAACATATACTTCGTAAACACTAGTTTAAGAGTAGCGTAATAATTTTTAAAACCGTTCTATCATAAAGACAATGACGTTATCTAAGCGCATGAGCGGTCTGTCATTAAAGGTTTCAGACGGGTTTTCCGGCATGGATAAAAACATCGAAATCCAAATCCGATTTGAAACTTTATATTTAACACTAGAAATTAATAAGCAAATTCCAATGTCACTCTTTTATTGCTGATACCTGCAATACTTTTTTAAGAAATTATTGTTTCTGTTGGGGCGTTTGTGAAATAAAAACGCCAGAATATGATAGGCAAATTCTTGGATCAAATTATGACGTTCCTTTCATTTACAATTATGAAATCCCAAATTGATGCGAAGGGACCTTCATTTTTTAGGATATGTGTATAAACATATGGTAATTGCGTTTATGTATTAAAAATCGAATTATATACAACAATTTTGCATTAATGGTTCATGTAATGCATGTTTTATTATATGTATGTACATGTATATGTGTGTATGTATATACGAACGACCTATAAGTTAGTGGTTTAAAGATCAATTTTGATATGAAAATGTTCATTATGTAACTACTTAAGAAGATGTCGGCTGGTATTTACTTTATCAATCAAAATTGATCTTCTCCAAACTTTTTCATGATTTTTGATATTATGTTTATATGAACTGTTCGTTATTGTGCATGTTTTATGTCCTAATCGGCTTTAAAGTCTATTGGAATAAAATAAAATGTCTACTGTCCACTATAATAAAAAAAATTGTAAGGCTATGTCACGTAAATATATCTGACGTCATAGTGACACAACGTCACGCTAAATGGTAGCGTTTCAATATTAACCGCCCGTCAATTAAACAGAAAATTTCTTATTTAGTAATAGTTATAGTACATGAAACGAGTTAGTTACGAGGATATAACACTGGCTGGGGCGACATCAAGGGATGTTTCTGCTAAAAAAAATGGCGAGGCCGTAATTCATTGTTATGTATTTTTCTTGAATAAACACAGGCTCATCTCAAGCTAGCCGCAATCACTTTTCGTTTTGTTTATGTTTGATGGGTTCAAATATTAAGATTTCCTTATCAGAAATTTGTTAGGAATAATTTAAGACTTTTTCTTTGGAAAATAAAATATATCAAGCCGTCCGTACCTTTTTAACATTTTTGCTCTGCTGAATGCGTTTCTTCTTTCTAATAAGGGGTTAAGACCATAATTATCGCACAACACTGGTGAAATTTAATGTGAAGACAACACTACACTAATGTTTCCTGAAAGTGGAGGCTTTTCTTTCCATTCTGCATTTAATACAAAATATTCTCAAACTATACACGTGTGTTTTAATTAGTATATTATCAACGAATATCTATTATGCCACCAGCTAGAAAGATATTTATATCCGATGGTGCAGCATTGTTCAATTAATTATTTCTGACCTGACCAACATTTTTTTCCAGATATATATCATTTCCTACATAAAAATAATTCATTATCAGCTGATTGGACAAATGGAAATCCACCAAGTAGAAAATGCGCCGTACGTTATCATTGTTATTTTGTGCGCCATACGTTATCATTTCCGGAAAATGCCCCGATATTAATATTTACAGCAGTAAATCTAGCCAGAATGGGCATGATTGCTTACTTGACAACATATTGCAACTTTTTAAAGTCAGTAGTTTCAGTTAATATACATATATGTAAAAGAAACAGTGAATTTGAGAGAAAAGGCCGTACGTTACCACGATCAAACCGGTGGAAAATTCTCTCGCTTCGAATCTGATGACGCGCATTTCAGATGAAGTACGGGACGAAACATCATGAAATAAAATCCTGTGTGCAAGGAAAATTGTGGGGAAGGTTGTTATATGTACCTTTACATTAGAACATCACGAATTTCAGAGAAAAAAGGGAAAACCCTACTTTTTGGCTGCATCCGCCATCTTGTTTGTTTGGGTAACGAACGGCGTGATTCTCCCCCTTGGTTTCTTTTGAAACTAATAAAGTGTTTAAATTGTAAACATGCGTATCATTTTTTAAACCTGTTGTTAAAATATCGTTAATATAGCATATATCATTTCGCTTTTAATATCTTATCAATTATAAAAAAGGCTCTTTGAAGTCAAACTGATGTGATCTTTCTAATTTAAGTTGAACAGGTGAAGTACCTTTTTCTGTATTCATTATGTGGGCCCTCGTTATAAGTAGTACAACCCTATAAAAATATCATCGGTTCCCACACGTCGATTTGAACAAATATACAGTGCGTTTAGGCTACCCCTAAAACAGTTATGAAGCACAGTTAATGGGAAAATTGATTCGTTTTTAGTTGTTTGGAGAGTCGTGATAATACCATTACAGTTTCAGTTTTGGTGTGACTTATACCATAACATGCAATATAAAGGAAATAATTAAAATGAGCCGCGCCATGACAAACCAACATAGTGCGTTTACGACCAGCATGGTTCCAGACCAGCCTGCGCATCCGCGCAGTCTGATCAGGATCCATGTTGTTCGCTTACAAATCTATAACAAGTAGAGAAACTGAAAGCGAACAGCATGGATCCTGATCAGACTGCGCGGATGCGCAGGCTGGTCTGGATCCATGCTAGTCGCAAACGCACTGTGTTGGTTTTTCATGACGCGGCTCAAATAAATTTAACATTCAGTTTCAACAAAAGACGACAGCTTTAAGTGAAATTTCACTATATTGAATTGTAAACATCTAAGATAAGAACGACATTTATCATTATAAGGCTCAAGGTTTCACGCTGATGTAAACTGAGGACACAATTAAGGATTTTCTCAACTTGTTTTACAACAAACGATTACATTAAAATTTGGTCTTCTTCAATAGATTGTATTAAAACCTATACCTATCCCATCAACATATAGTGATAAAGATCTATTCTGTAAAGTTTTAAATAACAACCAAACCATTTGAATTCTTCATTTTTATTTGCTTATTAAACGTTATGCGTACTGGAAAATAAAATCATAATACGGTAGAACAATATGTATGCTGTCAAAAAATTAACAATTTCTCTGAAGATGACAACTATTTAAAGTGATATGTTTAAAAATTGTGTCCTCAAGGCATTTAAAAATGGTTCATTTAATTGGAACCATAATTAGATTAAGTAAAAAGCAATTTGAATTTCATATGAAGTAATTTGCACATCGATTTCCGAAATTTCAAGTGTGTTAATAACTCTATCTACTAGTTGCACTGTAGACAGACGATATTTTCAGCGTTTACCAAAAACCGTATTCTGCTATTTATTAACTGATTGTCACTGTATCATTTGTTGGTCAATGTTCATAAGCACATATTTTATTTAGTTCCTAAGTTATTTTTTTGAAAACAAATATGATTTCACTCTTAATGAAACTAACTATTTGGACAAACATGTCTATCAAGTTTATTTTTTTTTATTTTTTTTTTTTTTTTTGTAAATGAGATTTTAAATTGATAATATATTTTGGTAGCCATTTGCTTCATTACCAAATTACCATACCACAGCAGCATTCTTTTTTGCTTTATCTTTTACATTAAGTTCCAAAGTTACATAAGATACATATTCAGAGACACTTCTAATTTAGTTTAAAAAGATACGTCACACTATCTAATATGTTTTTAGACATATCTATAAAGTGCATTGGCTTGCGAAAAAGTCGGTTTTATATCTAACTTTTTATTTTTATTTTTTTAATCGCAGCAATTTGCTGTACAGAACACACTTCTAGCCAAGAAAATAAATATTTAAGTTAGATTGTTTATACTACAAAAGAGACACTTGAATACTAAAACGAAAGCATGGATAAGATTGAAGCTGAAATTATATTTCATTTATTTATTTATTTTTGTATTCAGATTAAGGTCTTTTCCGCAAGTCATCGACTGCAAATACAGACACGACAGATACGACAGATACATGCAAATACGACAATCGATTCTTGTATTAGGTATCAGAGCTTGGGTATCTTTAGCCATAGAAAAGTGTAGGAGTCACTGAGTGCCTTATATTTCACGGTCTCGAGCTAGATCGTATCAAAATGGTTGTTCTAATAACCATGTCTAAGATTAATAAGGTTATGAAAAAATTAAATTATTATTATATATTATAGCTTTGTTGAATTGAATCGTTTCAGTGATGTTAACTTGCCGTCATTTTTGTACAATAAATAACAAAATCATTCTGTTTTATTTGTGTTTTATCTAAATCTTAAAGTTATTGTTAATTAATGTTATGCAACCTAAAATAAATCTTAAACAAGAGCCGGTTGAACCGGGTGATGCTCCTGGAATAGGTTTTGGACACAGGAAGGTATACCTCTTGTAGTGTCAGAGTTATGTCACAGACAAAGTTCAAAGTAAAAAAACAATCCAAATGTTGTGCGCGACACGTCGTCCCAATATGGTGATCATTTCTGTGAAATAGTTGTAAAATCCGACTTCAAATAAAGAAGTTATGGGCCGGGCACGATTTTGCTGTAAGGTCATACTGTGACCTTGACTTTCAATGTAAGCGACCCAAATGTTGCGCGGGACACGTCGTCTCAATATGGTGATCATTTCTGTGAAATAATTGTAAAATCCGACTTCAAATAACGAAGTTATGGGCCGGACACGATTTTGCTGCAATGCCATGCTGTAACCTTGACCTTCAAGGTAGCGGCCCAAACGTTGTGCGCGACACGTTGTCTCAATATGGTGATTATTTTTGTGAAAAAGTTGTAGAATCCGACTTCAAATAACGAAGTTATGGGCCGGACACGGTGTCGGGACGTACGTACGTACGTACGGAAGGAAGAACTAACGGACGGACGGACAGACAACCCGGCGACTACATGCTCCCCCGAAATTTTTGGGGGAGCATAAAAGTCTACAAAAAACATAACCTTAAATTATAGCATTTGTTTATATTCAAAACCTTAAACAATAGAAATTCATTTTAACTCTTTATCCATCACATGAAATATCATGGTTTCAAATAAGAAGGTATTTTGTAATTACCTTTTTTCAAAATTTAAACAATAATTTTGTTTATTACACGCATCTGATGTAAATGTATAGTGCGAAACATATAAGTTAATATTATCACTTTCAATTCTTTAACATAGATATGAACCACTATAAAGTTTATTAGTTAGAAATAAAATGTATGATTGCATTCCTTAATGAATCAACTGAGTTACACAATTAATTAATATAATGAATTAAATAACCACAGCAAAGTATTTTGCATGTAATACATCATTTTATTTTCATGACATTATGAAATTATAAGTACAAAATGATATTTAAAGGTATTACACATACAAATCTTTGTGAATCACAAAGGACTGAGAAAAATCAATTTTGTTTTTGATAGAGCATATACACGGACGTTGCATTTCAGTAATCATCGGTGGGTCTATTGACAGGTCTGTAGAGAGGTCATGATAAAATGTTTCACTGTTTCAGAGGAAGAAGCACATTTTGTACTAAATGTATTAACAGATGATACATTCCAGTGTTTTAAATATGACATGTCACATGTACAGTCAATAGGCATCCCGCTAAGATATAAATATCTCAGCTTTGTCAAGAATGTCACTGCGACAGGAACATGGTCAAGACGTGTGTAATCTAAATCTAGATAATATAAATTGATATTATTATAAAACGCATCTGGTGCTATGTACGAAATGGGATTCTGAAACAAATTAAGAACAATCAAAGAAAATAATCCTGACAAGTCAGGTGTTTCAATTGTTTTTATCTTATTACCATAAAGAAAAATCTGTTTGAGACGTTTGAACAGATTCAACGCATACGGTATTCTTTCAAAACGGTTATATTGTAAAGATAAAGATGTAAGTTCTGTGGACGTTGGAATTTTAGTACTTTCTATATACTCAAGTGAGTTATTCAAGATATTTAACTTTGAAAGGAATGGGAACAAGGTAAAAACATTTGGAAACGTATGAATGTTACTGCTAGCTAGATTAAGCTCAAAAACGGTAGAATTAGTTTGAGTACATGGCGCAAAAGTAGAGGATATATTTGTCTGGAGATGATAAGCAAATCTAAATGTGAAAGAAGTAAGCTGACTGAGGTGGCATATAGCATTAGGAACATCCTTAAGCTTGGAGTAATCAAGAGTAAGATGTCTAAGCGTACTTTCAAATCCATGGAAAACATTAACATCTAATTGTGGATAAGGTATGTGGTTTGCAATCAATGATTCTAATACTCGAAGGTAATGAAGTTCCTTGGGCCACTTGGTGAAAGTATCTAAATCGAAGCTAAAGTAAGTCAAGCTTCTTCCTATATTGTGCATAACTAATGTATCAAGAGAATGTAAAGGGTTGTCACAAATATCAAGCCTTTTTAGGTTAACAAGATATTTGATAGCAAATGGTAAAATTGTTATATTGTTACTTTGCAGCTGCAGACTTTTGATGGTTTTTGCAATCCCATTAAATGCATTGCTTTCAATCGTGTGTATCATATTTCCTTGAAGTTGTAAATCTATATCGTTTGCATTGATTGAGCTCAAATTTCGAAAGGTATCATTTTGAATAACAGTTAATTTGTTGTAACAAAAAAACAGATTTATCTTATCAACGTTTGCACTAAATTGTTTAATATCCGGAATGTTCGTTAGATCTCTACTGCTGCATCTGATATCTATGCCGTCATAACTGTCAAAGCATGTGCAAGGTGAGGACACTAGGCAATCGTTCTGAAGTATGAATGTGGTAGAAAATCTCAAGTAGGCAATTATCACTATAGCAAGAATCTGAAAAGTCAAAAACTTAATTATTCTTTCAGAAGATGACTGTTTTGAGTTTAAGTTTAAAACCAGTTTTGATATGACCTTGCTTTAAATGAAATTGTCACTTTGCTATATGGACTACTACTTTAGTTCCTGTTTTGAAATGCGAGTGTTCTATATGAAATGAAAAGAAGAATAATATTTAATCTTAAGATTAAATTTAAGAACATTAAAAAACAGCAAATTTTTTTTTGCAATCCCATTAAATTGACAATGTTGAAAGTGCGATTTGATTGAGCCTGTTCGTGAACGGTACTAGGAAGTACAAGGTACCGTCTAAGTCCTCAAACACCTACTTAAGGGCAATTCAACATTTCACACGAAAACGTAAAATTTCTATTTAGAAAAATACGCATATGTGTTCATAAGTCGGTAATATCACGGAACATTTTGTGAAACACGTTAGTGCCATTTCATGAAAAGAGGCTTTTGGTCCCCAAATTAACCATCGTTCGTTTTAAGTTCCATATTTAAGTACGAGCTTGGTAACATGTGCATGCATGTATTCATTATCACTTAAAATTTAAGTAAATTTGAAATTGGGATTTTAAAAAATGTTCAAGGCAAATAAGGACACGAATTGCATGTTTTTCTATAAAATCAATTTAAGACGTGATATAAATACTTTCTACTTACAGGTATAACATCACTCATTTTTATTACGCAAACACACATTTGTTGAACACCTGTAAATTCCAGTTATCTGAAACAAGAAAATGATATATAATATCATACGTAAATAGACGACTCTTTGGTACTTTCACTGTCTTTGGTACAAGAAACTTGTAGCTTAAGTTCTTGCACATATCTACGTTTTTAAAAAATGAACCAACGTCACATACTTTTTAAACCAACATAACAAAATCCATTGAGTTTCTTTTACCATTGGAAGGAAGGGGTCAATGTGCTGTGGTCGTCTAATTATTGTGAACGTTTGTACAAGGTAATTTCAAAATCCATTGAACAAGTAATTTCAAAACCCCTTGAACGATGAAACAAGTATGGTCCAAACACATCATTTTAAGCTTTGACCTTCAAGTGTGACTTGACTCTGGGTGTTGCGCATGACGCATTGTCCCAATATTATGAACTGTTGTGAAAAGAAATTTCAAAATATCTTGATCGATCAAAACATTTTGGGCCCGACACAAAATATATGCTATGTTAAGCTTTGACCCCTAAGTTTGACCTTGACATTGGACGTAGGAGTCCAGATATTGTTTAGGGCACGTCGTATTATTATTGTAAATATTTGTGATAAGCAATCTTAAAATCGCTTGATCTTCAAAACACAAACACAAACACAAACTATACCATATACATGTACCATATTAAGAATTAACCTTCTTGACCTTACAGTTCAGTGTCTGTGTGTTGCGCATGACACGTCGTCTCATTATCGAGAACATTGTGCCAAGTATTTTCAAAATTCCTTGATGGATGAGTAAGCTATTGGCCCGTCAAGACTTATACAAACAAACAATATTGACTTAAAGTTGACAAAGTGTTAGCTTGACCTTGGAGGCAGGGGAATTTATGTCGCGCAATTCAAATCGTTTCATTATGATATAAAATATTTGTGCCAAGCTATGTCAAATTCCTTTTATGAATGGCTTAGTTACGAGATTAAAGATATAGTAACGTACTATTCTTTTTTTCAAATACCTTTAATTGCTTTACAAACTCTTGAAATGAAATGAACATCTTTGGAGTACCCACATAAAATATATGTAACGCTTTCAAACCTTCATACAGATTTAGGTAAACACAGTCTGAGTACAAAGAGTCGTTCAACAACTGGCAGTTTCCTTGAAAATGGATTATTTTTACTTAACAAGAAATAGAAAATGCAACTTCCAAAACATAGTTCAAATGATATATATGCAGCAAGATTTTCTTAGATATCAATAAATATCTGCAGTTAAAGTATTTGCTTGTTTTGGTTGTACGTCACACCGACACAGTATAGGTCATTTGGCGACGTTCCAGCTTTACTGGTGGAGGAAGACCTCAGGTGCCCCTCTGTGCATTATTTCAGGCACGAACGGGCACCTGAGTAGAACCACCGACGTTCCGTAAGCGAGTTGGATAGCTTCCTCACATGAAAGAATCCAAAGTCCCTGTCGGGATTCGAACCTACAGCGGTGAGGGGCAAGTGGTTTGAAGCCAACAACCTTAACCACTCAGCCACGGACGCCCAACTTAAAGTATTTAAACAGCGAAGTAAATTAGCATCGTATGTCTTAAAGTGAATTATATAATACTTATAAACATCGGATTTACATTCAATGGTAACAATAATATATCATCAATTAAATTTATGCTATCTTAGCATGAAATTGTTTTGCACACGCGGTGGATAATCTTAAGTGTTAAATGTGAGTGAATCTCAATTAAA